TTTTAAAGATAGCTAGCAAAACAGACCAGGAAGGAAATGATTCCCATAGTGGTCTGCAACTAAACTTTTCATCATTTCTCTGTAGCCTAGATGCAGTGTGGGCTTGTCAGTTGTTTGCAACTGAATATCTTATACTAGAACTATAGCCATGCAAATTCAGAGAAACCTACAGGCCTAGTTTGAATTGAATAAAACAAACTAAAACAAAAAAGAAAGAATTTTAATCAAAATGTGAAAGTATGCTAATGTACTTCAGGCTTTATTTGGTTCGTCATGTGCCACTAAAATGTAAGACAGGTCCAGCGTCATCTTTTCCTTCATTCATTAGACAAGTGTAAATAGAACAGTAAACAAAAGAGTTATAAAGTGTCTGCTCTCATGGAGCTCAAATTCTAATGGAGGGAGACAGCCAACAAGCAAGCATCAAATGGTTATAAGTACTATGAAGAAAAATAGGGCAGGAGAAAGGGCTGGTGGCTGATGGGGGGAGTTGGGTAAAGATTCTCTAAGGAGGTGACAATTAAGGAGAGGCTTAAATGAAATGAGGGCAAGAGCCATGTGGATATATTGGAAAGAAGTGTTCTAGACAGAGAAAACAACAAATGCAAAGGCCTTGAGGCAGGCATTTCCTTGACCTGTTCTAAGAACACCAAAGAGGCCTCTGTGGCTGGAACGGACTGAGAGGTAGGCCATGTGATCAGAGGTGTGGGAGGCCAGATCATCTAACCCAGGCCACAGTAAGGACTTTGGTATTGCTTCTGAGTGAGGTGAGGAGCCACAGAAGGCACTAAGCAAAGGAGTGACATGCTTTCTTGTTTACCTTTCCAGGGACTTTTGATGTTGAGTGCCTCACAACTGATCACTACACAGGTGGCATGAAGCAAAATTACACTGTGAACCAATGCAGGCAGTTGTCCAAGAATCCAAACTTATACCTAGGCGAGAGGACCTATTACATCGCAGCAGTAGAGGTGGAATGGGATTATTCTCCAAGTAGGGAATGGGAAAAGGAGCTGCATCATTTACAAGAGCAAAAGTAATTCTCCAGATTTTGATTTCTATTTTTTTTTTTTTAGTTTCTCTTTCAGAGAAATAAGAATTATGCTAAATTGCAGTAAAACAGTTATATTAAACAATAACAACAAAATGTTTCCTAGGAATCCTTTCATTAATTTCAGCTTCTTTCAATTTTTCACAAGAAAATTTCCATTTATCTCATTTGATTCTTTGTAGTCACTCACCTTACTTTTATTTCTATTGGACTGTCTTCTCACATTCATGTGCCCTTCTCTTGTCACTGATTTTCAAACTTAAACCAAAATCGATGCCTAAATTCAGAGCTAAATTATTATTTCCTTTACCAATAATTTGCTGTTTATCTTATCTTTCCTCTAAAGATTTCATTATTAATCTAGTAATCAGTTATTTCACACTTTTAAAACTATTATGCATGGAAGAATATTTTAAATTCTTGAGGGTAGTGTAGCAGATATGGTATCTGCCCTTTAAGAACTTACAGGAAAATATGGGCCAATATCACCAATAACAAATACATTATGAAAATATAAAAATAAGTTCAGTGTGAGTTAAAGATGGTGATTGGAGCTTCATAAATATTTCATTTTGAGCAACATCACTTCCACTTCTAGTCAGCCCTTTTGTACTTTTCCAAGCACTTTCTCTCTATCATCTCACATGTTATGCACTAACTTTGTGGATATGATTTGAGAGACTGGGATGGGCATGAGTTCACATCTGGAGTACGCAACATGACTGGCAACCTGTAGCTAAGTAATTGTTAGTTGGTTAGTTTGACTGATGGTGAGTATGATTTGCAGTTGTAATAGAGTAAAAGGTAATTTCGGTGATTGGAGCAAAACAGTCTAAAGGCTATAGGAGCCATTAGGAGTCAATAAAAAATTTAGGTAAAAGGAACATTTAGAAAAACATGGCCATTTCAGTTCCTGTAAACCAGAAATACTGCAGTAATGAGAGAACATTTCATTGGTGAAATCTGAACCAATAAAATTTTAGTTATAAAGAAACCTTAGATGATCTCATCTAATACCTTGTTTTAGAGACGAAGAAACTGAGTCTCTAATAGGCAATGACTAGCTGGAGTTCATTTTAGCTAGTGTCAGAGTCAGGGCCGGGACTCAGATGGCTCCACTTCTAGCTAGATGAACTTTCTACCACACCTGTCTGTTTTTAAAGGCTTATTCTTTCTTTCTGGAATGGAAGACTGATATTAACAACTAGTATAATTACTTAAATAAAAACTATGTTTATTCGATATTGAAAATTTAAAGTCAACTTCCACTCATTAAGACAAATACTAATATTAGTTGTACATGTATGTTTTTTTTTAAGTGTTTCAAATGTGTTTTTCGATAAGGAAGAATTTTTCATAGGCTCAAAGTACAAGAAAGTTGTGTATCTGCAATACACTGATAGCATGTTCCAAGTTCCAGTGGAGAGAAAAGCTGAAGAAGAACATCTGGGAATTCTAGGTACTCTAACAACTCCAATTCATCAGATGTGGGTTAGTGATACACTGCCACGTGCAGTGACAGTCCATGTTTATGAGTTTAATTTTCTTGGTTCATATATCAAAGTTATTCAGTTCAAAATAAAAAAGAGGAGAATTCTTCTAGTTGCTAGATGATATGCTGCCTGAGTAATGAGTCATTTAATAAAGCCAATTAGATCTTCAAAAAATAAAAATAATAGTTACTCAATAAAAACCAGAAACCTATATTTACTAAAGAATAGGGCATAATAAAATATTACTTGTTTCTGTTAGAAACAATGTATTATTCTATAAACCAATGAAATTGGAAATGTTTGGTGTTTTATCAAACTGATACCTGTACTTTTGGTGAAATTCCAGAAATTCTTAACCAAAATTTCCCTGTTATTCCACCCTTCCAAAATAAATCATAGATATTTACTTTTAAAATTAAGATGTAAATGATTAACTCCAAGAAAAAGAGTACTTACAAGGAAATAAGGAAAGAAAAAAGTGTTACCTTGCACAAAGCTGGAGGAAAGTTGCCTATAATTTTTCAGGAATCATTTTAAGACAGAATGTCTAAGAATATGAGCAACACTGGCCTGGAGAATTTTCTTAAAAATCGTCAAGTGCAGGGGACACCAGTCCCAAGGCCACTGTTTCCAATAGTAGAGTTCCCTGCGGCTTGGTTATCCTCACCCCAAGGAGTAAGACACCCAAGGCAGCAGGCATTGCTACTGGGTCACAGTAATTCTCCCAAACAGGAGACAAGCTAAGGTTGGCTGGAGGGTGGAAACAAGAAGGTAATAGCCCCACCCACTCTTTCAAATGCAGGATTGCCATTTCTTCACACGCCTGAAGGCCTGGAAGTCCAAATGTTGAGCAATGAGAGAGCAAGTGCTACATCTTGACTCCAGGCCAGAGATGGAGTACAGCTAACTCACCATGATTAGACCATTATACTGCAGGGGACTTTCAGGCTAAAACCTCCATAGGGCTCTAGATAAGAGATGTACCATCTGTAAAAGCAGCCATTACTAGTGTTTTTATTCTGAATCCTCTGGGAACAGGTATAAATTTAAGAGTATAACAGCATGAAGCCACAGGAGTAGAGAGAAAACCTCCCCCAGACTCCTCCTGCCCTTAATACTAAAAACATTACCTGATCTTTGTTTTCATTACTGAGTTAGAACTTCCAATCTGACACAATATAAGCCACTCTTCCT